ATGCTGGAACCGGGTTTCTAGAAACACACTGAGCCGGAGAGATGGCGAGTGGGGAGGGGGATGCTCTCAGGAGGGCATGGCCCCGTCTTGCACTCTGGTCCCACCTCCCGCTAAGCAGATGGGGAACTGCAGCGGGCAGGTTAATGCGAGCTCAGCGGCAGCCAGTGTGAGACCAAAAGCAGCAGAAAGCGTGGCCTTTATGAAAGAACTTTCACTGAAGTTCTCATGGACAACTCACCGGCCTTCTTCTTCGGGTGCGGCCTCCCTCGGCTGCTCCGACACTGGGAGGCAGGCGTCCCCGGCATGTTTGTTTTCTTCACAGTGGAGGTTCGAGACTCCACGGGAGAAAAGTGGATCCTTTTGCTTTCTCGTTCTCCTGCATGTCCTGTACCCGCGCTCGCCCCAGCTGCGTCCTCCCCGCCTCCTCCACTCTTCCTCTTCCGCGCCGGGAAGGCAGCCTTGCAGGAGGGAGCTGCTCTCCTGCACCCCTTAGGGTTGCCCCCCGCGGGATCTATAACCGGGAGGTAAGGATGAAGAGCATCCTCCTCCTCCTGGTCCTCTGCTGCGTTTCCGCAGTCGCCCACCGCGCTGCGAAGGCATCGCCTGGCCTTGGGCTCGCTGGGCTCCTCCCTGCTGCGCTCTCTGGGGCCCGCGGGCTTCGGTTTGGTAACGGTGGCCGAGAGTATGGGGCGTCTCCGGGGCTGTGCACCGTGGGCCTGTCCGGCAGTATCTTGAGCTGCGGGGAATGCAGGCTGCTTCTGTTTTGTAAAACTGTGACCATCTGGTATCATTTCCGAAGCCTCGGGTTCTGCAAAAATAGCTTTGGGAGAGTTCGCACCCTGATTTCCAGGAATAAACCGCAAAACTTCGTTTTTTCTCTGCCCCGGAGGAGACGGCGGGGCCTGAGAATGTTCTTTTGACAGCGGTGATAATTCACAAGTTGGTTGAGATAGAGATAAATATGGCATATTATCTCTGACAAATTGATTTGGGGATACAAATGGATTCACTGACTCTGATTCTAGCTTCTGATTTAGTCCATAATTATCCTTAAGGAAGGAATCGGGACTTAAAATTGTCCGATAAATTTCATGTATAGTGTTTGATTCCAAATGCCTGGGCCTTGAATCATCTTTGAGAAACGTATCTGGTGAAACGGTCACTGATTCTAGTTTATGACTAGCTCTGTGGCTGTTCTTTACAAAGGAATCTGGACTTAGAAAATCCCCTTGGCTCTGGGTAATGTTCCAAGTGGAAGAACAGTTTGGGGTAAGACTACGTTTACCATCCTCTTCAATCTGGCCGTTGATACCAGTCAAGGAGTCAAAGGAAGTTTCCGTTATGACTTTCCCATTAAACTCTTTGCGCATGTGCGCACCTTCTAATGTCCACAGCTCCCCGTTCTTGGGTGAATGGAGAGATGTGTAGGTGGTGGACCGCCGGACACAGAGTGGCAAGCACGTGTCCCCATGGCATTCTTTGAAAGTGGGGCTAATTGGGGAAATGGGTATTTTATTCTCTTGGAGGATGAGAGAATTGTTTTCTGTTGGGGAACAGCCTTCATTCCCACCCAAATTTTCACAAGCTTGTAGGGGGCTCCTAACTCTGTCAGCTTTGGGGGGAACGCTAAATGTTTGATTAACATTCTGAATGTTTGAAATCCTTTTCTTGTGGCTTGAAGAGGACGAAACTTTCTTCTTTTTGATGGTATCCCAAAGACTCCTCTGCAAAAATAAGCAAAACAGACAAATTAAGTTGATGGCTGCTGTATATTACCTTTCATCAGAAAATTTATGTACGTCACTCAGCTCAACAAGAGTGTTATCAAAATAATTTTTACACATGATCATTTTCTTAGAGTAAACCACAGAATGATGAAAAGTTATTACCTTTTTCTTCCTTGGCTCTTCTGCATTTCCTAGTAATATAACTTCATGTTTCAGAATATCATTTACAAGAAATGTCAGGATCTCTCTCACTCGGCCTTCTTTTACCGGTGTCCAATTAACGGAAATAACAATTTTTTCCTTAGGCTGTAATCAAAAGGGTATTTTTAAATTACTGTAACAGTAGACTGTGCATAATAACCAAAACATATTATACACCACTCAGACTACAGTGCAAGATTAGTAACCGATACTCACCAACACTCTACACCATAGTAACATTTAAGTTAAATATACTTTCCTAACCTAGCTCATTTTATTACAAGGAAAAAAGCTACTGGTAATTACAAGGTTCACAATAAAATAAAATTGCAACAAAATCTTAATTATAAACAAGGCAATGGCAGTCTCCAAATCATGTTTCGTTATCGGCGGTTTTTAAAACGTAAATCACGCATTTCTACTTCTTTAGGATATGCATACTACTTCCAGTTGGACTATAGAAGAATTTGCATTAAGATTTTTGCCCCCAAAATTTGAAAAGAATCAACTAAGCTCCTTCTCCCAGGAGCTTCTGTGAGCACAGCCTCGTGACCACCGATACTTGTTAAACACCACCTTCCAGGCACAGTCTCGGGCACCTCCTAGCACAGCTTCCACCCTCACAGGCCCGGGAAGCAGTGCTGTGACCACCACCTCCCACAGGCCAGGTGACCAGGGGCCAGGAGACCAGGGGCCAGGTGACCAGGGGCCAGGACGCTTTCCGTGTTCTACTTTCTGTATTTCAGTCAGAACCAGAACCCAGGCAGTCAGACCCTGGAGTTCAGAATTGGGCACCTACGCCCTGCACGCAGCCTGAAACCCTGCCGGGATGGAAAAAACTTCGGGGCTGTGGTTGTTCAGGGCAAAAAAAGAAAAAGAAAAGGCAAGTTATTTTCAAGCAAAAACTGTCAAACATCAGAAACATCTGGTTAAAAAAATACACAAAACAATGAACTCGATCAAACAGTACATTCTAAAACAAGCAAAAAAAAAAAAAAAACACCAAAGAAAACCCCAAAACAAAAAAACCCCCATTCGTTCCACATAACAAAAAGGAATTATTATGCAGGTAGGAAACTGCGGATCTAGGATCCCAGAGAACTGGAGGGGAGGCGGGGCCCCAGGGGCAGAACCCCTGTTGACACCCAGGTGGGCGACCTCGGCTCCAGGCCTCGGGGCGGGGCCTCCCCTCCTGAACCCCTGGGACACACGGGTGAGCCACATATTCGGAGAGACGTGTCCCCCCCCCCCCCCCCCCCCCGCCGCGGCCAGAAGAACTGACAGTTGATGGGTTTCGGTGGCAAAGACGCGAACAGGGCTCTGGCCAGCGCCAGGCAGAAGAGCCACCCGGGAAATCCCGGGAAACCACGCCGATGGGATGAAGCTTGATTCGTGCACCAAGAAAACTCCAGTTCATTCATTCAAAGCGCCCTCTAGCCGCGATGCCTGAGGTCTCAACTTTTCGTGGCTGTTGCGCAAGAACTTTCAGAATTTTAAAAATTTAAGTCCGAGGCACTGACCTCTCTTGCCTTAGATTGTCAAATTTAAAAAAAAAAAAAAAGACAACAGCCAACACAACAACAGCGGTCCGGGGTGAATGAATCACAATCATGCCTATTTTTATTTTTATTTTTTTTGTCAGATCAGCAAAAAAATATATTTGGGGGGGATCAGATTAGCAAAAATTCTATTTTGGGGTGTGTGCGCTGCAGAATTTTGGTAGTTAGCGGACGTGTGCCAGGGGGCGAACGAGGTGGCACATCGCTGCTCCATTGGGTCTGGAAATGCGGCCAGGGATGCTCCGCGCATGCGCGCTGGGGTGCGGCGCCCCCGCCCCCTCCC